CCCAGTTGCAAATGGAGGGGCTTATTTCTAGTGTGAATAGTTTGTCCATCAGGTATCCTGATGCATGCTCAATAACAGGGGTGGAGGCCTCCGGGTTCAACTGTCCCCCTCTTACAATGCTCTTATTGCTAGTATCCCCTGTGAATAGTAAACAGCCATCAGTGTGCTAATGATCCATTGTTAGGCTGATGGTCCTTCTTGACCATGTGAGCAGATGGTTTTGGTTGTCAGCAACAAACTGGTTGATCCACTCTGAGAAGGTGCTATTTAAGAGACTGAGCTGAATACAGCACCTCAGACTGAGGAAATCTTTCGGATGAAAGACGAAACGTATCTAGATTTTTTTGCTTTGCTTTATTTTGTTTTTTTGAATGTCCAGAGGACCAGATTGAACTTTTTTAGATTTGTCCATCAGGGTTTGGGGGGATCATGGTGTTGAAGGCAGATGTGAATTCTACAAAGAGCATATGAACGTAAAAGTCTTTCTACTCAAGGTGGTTGAGCGCAGTGTGGCCCACAGAGGAGATGGCATCCTCTGTTGATCGGTTCTCACGGTATGCATACTGATGAGGGTCCTCGTTGACGTTGATGGTTGTTTTGATGTGAGTCATGACCAGTTTTTTAAAGCATTTAGCGACTATTGTGGTGAGGGCCACTGGCCGATAGTCATTCAGACCAGTCACTAGAGAGCTTTGTGGGACTGGGATGATGGTGGCAGTCTTCAGGCAGATGTGAACTGTCTCCAGGCTGAGTGAGGTGTTAAAGATGTCTGCCTCACAGAGATGAACGGCACATTCATTCAACACTTTTCCGGGGATGCTGTCTGGGCCGGTTGCCTTGTGCGGATTAATCCTCTTGAAAACACTCCTTACTTCTGCTGAGGTCATGCTGAGATGCTCTTCATCCGGTGGTTAGGTGAGTCTGCTGCTGGGTGGTCTGTTCGGGACTTCAAAGCATGCATAGAACTTGTTGAGGGCATCAGGCAGAGATGGGTTTTTGGGGAATTGTTCACTCCTTCCTTTATAATCTGTTATACACTTAATGCCAATCCACATGGTCCATGGGTCTTGTGAGGTGAATTGACCCTCGATTCTCTGTGCATATGTGGTCTTGGCCTTCTTAATACCAGCAACCAGCTCTTTTCTTGTCCTACTCAGCTCCTCTGAGTTTCCAGACCTGAAGGCAGTGTTCCTGGCTTCCAGCAGGGTGCGCACCTCTGCATTCAGCCAAGGTTTTCTGTTCGGGTAACTTTTAACATATCTGATGGCGGAGACTGTGTCAGTACATGTACTAATGTAACCCAGAACTGAGAATGCGTATTGGTCCAGATCAAGTGATCCTCCATTTTCAGCAGCTTCTTTGAAAACCTGCCAGTCTGTTCAATCAAAACAATCTCTCAGTATGGGGCCACTGTCCTGGATCCAACATTTAACTTTCTTTTGTACCGGTCTGGAACGTCTCAGCGGGAGCATGTATGCAGGGGCCAAGAAGATTGAGATGTGATCAGAGAATCCTAGGTGGGGGTGGGGTTCGGCTTTGTATGCATCTTTTACGTTTGTGTAAACACGGTCCAGCGTGTTGTTCCCACGTGTTGGTATGCCCACATACTGGTAAAAGCTTGGGAGGCAGTCCTTTAGATTCACGTGATAAAAGTCTCGAGCCACTATGTAACGAGCCTCAGGGTGTTTGTTTAACAGTGAACTGAGGAGATCATGCAGCTCTTGGAGAGTTTCATTGGCATTAGCATCCGGTGGAATGTAAACAACCGTAATGAAAGTCACTGTGAACTTGCGGGGTAAATAATGTGGCCGACATTTCACTGTTATCTGCTCCAAAGCCTTCGAGCATGAGTTTTTTACAACAGTACTGTTTGTGCACCAACTTTTACTCACGTAAATGCACACTCCGCCTCCCCGTGATTTCCCTGTTAGCTCACTGCAGCGGTCCGCTCGAAAAAAAAGTCTGTCATCCAGCTTGAAGACTGTATCCGGCGTTTCACTTGTAATCCATGTTTCCGTGAGGCAAAGCACCGCACACTAGAGGATGACATAGGAGTGGATTTTCACTCCTGTCCTGGTCCCAGAGAAAAAATCCTGTCCTGTCCCAATCCTGGTCCAGAGTAAAAAAATTAATCCTGTCCTGTCCCACTCCTGGTAACATGACTCCTGCTCCTGTTCAGAATCACTCCCACTCCTGTCCTTCTCCCGTTTTTCATTAAATTTTTAGGAAATACGTTGAATTTGATTTCATCTTTTACCCATTCCTGTTTAAATTACTTTGTGTTGTGCAGTTTTATTTCAAAAGATATGACAACAGGAACAGTTCATCTGTGGTGAAATAGAGACATTTATTGTCTTAATCCAAACAAAAACCTTCACTAAATGTCATAAAACAAATAATCCATGGTCTGTAGTCCATATAATGTTTCTACGGAGGATCAGCTGATGAGTCTGTTTCTGGCTCTTTTGAAGGTCAGTTCCAGTAAAAACAAAAAATCTAAACCAGTCCATGGGTCACACCATGTCTACCTTAGATGAAAGAACCCAAACATAACAAGTTGCATTTTACTAGTTTATTGAGCAATTGTTTCCTTTAAACAGTGACATCACTGTCATGATTTAAATTGTTTAAACAAACAAGCAAACAAACAAAAATAATGTACCAAGCAGAGAAGTCAACAAATAAAAATGTTTAAATTATTATACATTGGACGACGTCCTCAAGAAGTTCAGTGTATGTGGTCGAGGTAACGAGCTCGTTTGGGTGAAGCATGATGTCGTGCATCTTCCCAGACTTCAGAGCATCATTTACAGACTGGACCATTGCAGGTCTGGTGTTCCACCTCATCTCTCCACAGCTGGACCAGTCCAGAGCCTTGTGGAACCTAAAAGTGAAAGAAGACAGTGCACGAGTCAAAATACGGTCACAGTGACTACAAATTACAATCTGTTGGTCTTTCTTTTGGAAAAAATATTTTATCAAAAACAAGAGATTTACTATTGAAATTAAGTCAAGAAAATGTGACATTTGCACTTATAATTACAGAAGCTCAATTTTTCTTTATTTATTTCACTTATCATATTTTATAATTATTTAATGAGCCTCACAGGCAGAGATTACAAGATGTTATGTATCTTACCTGCTCTGTTGAAGTGTGTGACAAGGGTCTTTGTGTCCAAAGCTGTTTAACAGCTTGCTTCTAGAGCTAACAGCTTCCTGTGTTAGGTAGAAAAATTAAATTTAATTAAAGACAAACAAAAAGCTTAGTGCTACTTCTTGTGCCATGCTTTATAAAACAGTCTTTGAATAAAGTATTTACTTATGTAGGTAAACATAGATGTTTTAAAACCTGTTAAAATACACCAGAATGCAGGAAATAGCAGCTACTTTATTTAAAAAGTTATGGGGGAGGACCCACAGACCTCGCACCAATATGTCCCCCCTACAATAACAGTTATTATAATGTATATGTAACCAGCCTTTCATATAAAAACTGGGATATTTTTACCGGAGAACGCGTGCACTTTAACCAGGAAGAGTTCGGGTTTTTTTTTTTTACATTACAAACAGCAACAGATAATGAAGATTTTTACCTAAAAGCCCACATAACAAAGCAGAGCATAATTTTTTAATTAAAAGGGACGAGGTGGAGAAAAATGCGCTGTTTGAGTTCATTTACTGACGGTAAACAGCAGCTCTGTGAGGAGCTGCTGTTTAGCTGAGACTAAAGTTTAAATCAGCACAGCACCAACACAACTCTCATGAAGTTCAGGTTATTTGACACTTTCCTGCTCGTTCTGTGAGTTTAATAGACAGACAGTTACTTCTTACCTTGTGTTGCAAACTATTTTCAGTTACTCGGTACCGCTTCGCTCACTGCTCCTCCCCCTCTCGGTGAAAAGCTACGACTCGAACACTTAACTCCTGGGAAATGTAGTCCTTTTGACATGTTAAAGTGAAAACTTACTGAAAGAAAACTACAAAATAGCTGCGCCCGTGGTTTTTTTGTTTTTGTTTGTTTCATTTTCATTTTTGGTTATTGGTCAGTTCCCGCTCCTGTCTGCTCCCGTTAGCTTTCAGTCTGGTCACGTCCCGGTCACGTGAGTTATAATGAGGTTGACTCCGGTCCCGCCAGAATCCGGCCGGAATCACGTGACCGGCGGTACTCCCGAAAAAAAAAAACATCCTCTATCGCACACTTCATCTCTTCTTAGGCGTCCGCTCTCAGACGAAGCAAATCCATCTTGTTGTCCAACGAGTGGACGTTCGACAGAAAGAGAGACGGCATCGGGAGTTTTCCAGCTTTAGCGTTAGCTCGTAGCCTCACCATAACCCCGCCCGGCGTCCTCTCCTCTTAAGTTGGGAGCAGCGCTTCCTCTTTCCTGTTGGAATGCCTCTGTTGCAGCTTCCAGGTAGATGACTTTAAGATCTGAATTCTGCCAAGCTTAGTTTTTAGTTTGTTGCTGATTTCTGCTATATTTTGTGGCAAATCAGTTCCTATTTTCTAATCAATTCAGTTTGACTATAGTTCACACGATAAATCGTGAGGAGTCAGGCACAGAGTCAATATCAAAACTTCTAAAAACTGGGACAGTATCGGGAGCCTGTGAAGCTGCAACTGCTCTGAGCGCGGCCACTCCTTTTATTACACCCCACTACTTGTATTTGGAAGTGTCTCTGATACACATTTTATTAAACTCCTCATTTTACAGCATATAGAAATCATTTTTGATCACGCAAAGAGGAGAATTACACATTTATTTGCATATTTAAATGGAGGCATGTCAGGGGAGATGTCTCGTGCACTCGTTTCACATTTGTTGGGATTTAAAAAAGAAAAGGTGTGCAGAAACGTGTGAATTGATAAATGTGAATGTTTCTGTGCATATGCAGTTTTGTTCCTACGCCAACTTTCAGTATGAAAGCCGCTCACTCTTTCATACATGAGGCCCGTGGTCATTTATTTTTAGCAGACATACAAATAAAGGTCAACATCTTACCTGGCACCTCAACTTTGGTCTTGGAGTGAGCAGAGTCCTCATCACCTTGGATCTTGTACACCAACATGTAGGCATTTCTAGAGCAGTGATAACCTTTGCTGCACTTGGGCTTTCGTGACTGGGATTTCACCGTCTCAGCTGGTGAACAATGAAAAGCAGGGGATAAAAAATTAAGTTTGTATCTACAAACATGAACCCTATATCGAACTGTGGAACAGTACTTTCCTATTTTACCTTAGAAATAAAGCCCTTTGAGCTTACTGACTGCATCTCTGCTATGTTTTGTGAAATCAGAGCTTCTGGTTAACAAACTTACTCTTGTCTAAAATGAACTAAAAGTTTTCAAGAAAGGAGAAATGTTCATTTATTAGGGTGGCTGTGGCTGAGTGGTTAGAGCAGTCGTCCTCCAACGCATAAGTTTGGGGTTCGATTCCACCAGCAGTCACATGCCCAAGTGTCCCTGGGCAAGACACTGTTAAAGACGTGAGCTGGTTGCGGGCCACTGGACCCGGAAACCACCTCCAGCCCACGTCTTTTCCCCCGGCTCGAACCTCCCTCAGAAGTGGCAACTCTCATTATCAATAAATCAAGGAAACATCAATTAAGTTTTATCAATTGTATTAAAAAAGGCAGGAAAAGGTTGCAGTTTTACAGCGCTGGTCTCTCTTGTCTGTGACGCGTTCACAGACCCAGAAGAGCCCAGATGTCCCGTGTCATTACTCATATATACGGTCCTGGACTCCTCCTTTGCAGAAGGGGAGCTCAACCTGTCAGTGTATGAGGGGCGTGGCTAAGTGTGATCTCAATGGATCTTATGTGGTTTTGATGTGTTAGGAAATATGAGACGGTGCTTCAAAAGCCTCTCTACGTGATGTGGCAAGCAGATTAAACTCTATTCCGTGACAGATATCGAATTCCAGGGATACTCTTTTTAGAGTTGCTGGCAGTTTAACCCAGTCAGAACCGGGTCATAATTTCATTATAATCCCGTCTCTGAACAGATCAAAACCATAGGACCAGTCCAAAAATATCTTAACAAGACTGAACCCCTCATTGCCTGTGATGTGTGTCCCATCAGTGTATGAATGTGATAAAGCTCTGATTAGTCTCTACAGATTCAGATTAGCTTTGCAGAGATCTAGTAGAGTGCTGTATGAATGGGTAAATAAGGGAACAGACTGTGTTGTAAAGCGCTTTGTGTGTCTTGATAATAGAAAAACGCTATACAAGTACAGCCCATTTACCATTTATTAACACTTACCAATATCCTCTTCAATACCAAGATGCAGCTTCTTTCCTTCCATTTTCTCTATTTCCTCATCATTGAATTTGTACCAGTCACCAGTCAGCGCATCCTTCACATGAGCAATGTAGTGACCCGAATAAGCACTGATGCCCCGATGGATCAGAACAGCACTCAGTTCATAGACATACTTCAGATCTGTAAAAACGGAGTCCAGAAACAAACAAACAGCAGTTAGATAGTGAATTTAAGAAGTTGGTTTCTGAATCATACTTAGCCCAACTCAGAAACAAGTCTAAAATTAGTTTTGACTGCCTTGTTATAAATCATGATATGCTGAGGCACCCCCTCTAAAAATCACTTCTCCATGAAGGTCTTTTTTTTTTCCTTCAGACAAATTCAGGAGTGGATTAAAGCAGCACAGTCAAGTAAAAAGTGAGGGTATGATTTTTATCCTCACTGAAACAAAAGATCACTACAGTGGGTTAAAAAAGCATTAATGCGCCAGGACCATTGATTTTGTTGCCTTACAACCTGGAATTTTCTGCTTTTTAATAATTCATCCATCCATTACCTTTATCCGCTTATTCCTTTACAGGTTGCGGAGGTCACTGGTGCCCATGTCCAGTTATCACTGTGTGAGAGGCGGGGGACATCCTGGACAGGTCTCCAGTCCATCACAGGCACACAGAGACAAACAAGACACACAACCATTCACTCTCTCATTCACACCTAGGGACAATTTAGAGTTACCAATCAGTCTAACATGCATGTTTTTGGTCTGTGGGAGGAAACTGAAGTACCTGGAGAAAACCCACGCATGCACGGAGAGAACATGCAAACTCCACCCAGAAAGGAAGGGAAGCCAAGTTTTGAGATTGTCATCACTGTATGTTCCCATACAATGGTGAAATTAGTTCTCTGCATTTAACCCATCACATGTGAGATACACCCAGGTGGAGCAGTGGGCAGTTATGTAAGTGCCCGGGAAGCAATTAGGGATTGGGTGTCTTACTCGGAGACACCACAACATGTGGGAATGGCAGGGAGTCGAACTGCGACTTTCTGGTTGCAGGTTGGCTGCCATACCTCTAGCCCATCTCGGCCCCAAGGCCCCCGGCCAAGATTTGAACCGGGGCGACCTGCTCACTGAGAGGCGGCAGCTCTACTAACTGAGCCACCATGCTGATCCGCATTTTAAGTTTTATTAAAAATAAAAACACTCAGAGTCCTGAGGGTGCAACTTGAGTCCACGTTGTGCCAGGAAAGGCATTCAAAATAAAAACAACTGCCAAATAGGTCAGGAAAATTTGCTCAATGTGGTGACGCCTGTATAAGGGCATCGATTTAACTACAATTTATAATATAGTCAAATATGATAAGTTTGTATATTATCACCTGTCATATTACTAACATATTTTACCTGGTCTCCCTTCCAAAAATGGTCCCATATCCAGCTGTTCTGGAAAACTGATGAAAGTGTTGAGCTTCTTCTTATGGCCTGTTTGCCTAAAAAAAATAAAAAAGATTTAAAAAAAAAATAATAATAATAAAAATCCTCATTTCAGTACAAACACCACACTTTGGTCCTGGTTCTGTGTATTACAGAGAGTCTCCTTATTTATTTATTTATTTGTAAATTCTGTGATTCCATTTGCATTTTCAGGGCAGCTGTGGCTGAGTGGCTAGATCATTGTCCTACATTGGGAGAGTTGGGGGTTTGATTCCACCAGCAGTCACATGCTGAAATGCCCCTGGGCAAGACACTGAACCCCCTCATTGCCTATGATGTGTGTCCCATCGGTGTATGAATGTGATCTAAAGCACTGATTAGTCTTTGTAGACAGCTGAATGCTGTATGAATGTGTGCGAAGGTAAATGAAGCCACAGCAGTGCTTCCCCTACAGTGTTGCCAAATAGTCGAGGTTTTCCAGCACAAAAATCTGTTAAAAACCGCCACATCACGCAAAAACCCATCCAATCAATATCAAGTTATATTTACTGTTTGAACATGAACGTACATCAGTATAAGTCAAGGTAAGTGTATACACACACACACACACACACACACACACACATATATATGTGTGTATGTATTGTCATCATTGCATGCTCCCATACAATGGCAACACTGACTCTCTGCATTTAACCCATCCACCACCAGGTGGCGCGGTGGGCGACCTTAGGAGGTGCCTGGAGAGCAACTGGGGATGGGGTGACCTGCTCAGAGACACCAAAAGATGTGCAGTGACTGAGGATGGAACCCGGGACCTTCAGGTCCCGAGTCGTTGCCCTGCCCCTACACCATCTTGGCCCCCAACACACACACACACAAACACACACACAATGCCCCCCACCTCAGGGCGGCTGTGGCTGAGTGGTTAGAGCAGGCGTCCTCCAATGCAAGAGTTGGGGGTTCAAATCCACAAGCAGTCAGATGCTGAAGTGTTCCTGGGCAAGACACTGAACCCCTCGTTGCCTCCGATGTGTCCCATCAATGTATAAATGTGATAAAGCTCTGATTAGTCTCTTTAGAATGACTTGTTCAATTAGCTTTGTACAGATCTAGTAGAGTACTGTATGAATGGGTAGATGAGACACAGATTGTTGTAAAGAGCTTTAAGTGTCTTGAAATAAGATAGAAATGTGCTATATAAGTGCAGTCTATTTACCATTTACCTCCTGAAAAGATGTATGGGTGTTTATGTGTTCATCGATGTGATTAATCAAAATCAGTTAAATGTGAACGTTAGTGCTCTTTATACAGAAAATTTGCATGACACATTTCAGGATCTGGTTATTATAGGCACAGATTAAATGTTAAATATGAATTTTTTGACATGATGATGGTTTTTATACCCCAATATGGCAAACCAAAAAGGGACAAAGACAACAGATTACAAAAAGGTGAATGGTTATTTACAGTGCAGGAACGGGGATGGGTTTGCTGTTGGGAGAAGCGGAGGACAAGATGAGTCTCTTGAGGATAATGTTTGATTTGATTGTTTTTATAAGTGGAAGTCTTTATTACTGTTATTGTTTGTTGCAGGTGGCACCGAGGTAGAGAGGAGAAAAGGTTTTGTGACGAGAGGGAATCCAGAGAGGTAAGTAGGTGATTGAAGGAGTGTCATGGCCAGGAGTCCAGAGTGTTGTTTTGCTGAGCTGAGAGAGTTGGGTGTGCAGGTTAGGCGACCAGATCCAGCCAGATCCAGGGAGAAGACAAACAGGTACAAAGAATAGGAACAAATCTGACGGGCAGAATAACAACAGGTTAGAATACTTCTAAGGCTGCCAGGCTGTCACAAAATTGCCTAAGGTAATCAATGCTCCAGTGTAGGATGAGTGTCTGGCCGAGGTTTAAGTAATGCAGTGTGAACAGGTCTGGCAGACGAGGTGAAAGTGTAACTAATCGGCTGATGAGTTGCTGTGATGAAGAGTGGTAAAAAAGAAAAACCGAGAATTCCACAGTGCGCCCCTCCTCAAGTATCCCCTTTTTTCGATCTCTTCACAGGATGAGCCGAGGAGGAGGAGGATATTAAGGTGGAGTCCAGAATGAATGATCGAGGGACCCAGGACAGCTCCTCGAGACCATAGCCCTCCCAGTGCACGAGGTATTGGAGGCTTCGTCCCCTGCGTTGAACATCAACGAGGCGTCTGACTGTGTAGACTGGATCATCATTGACCAGACGGGAGAATAAAAGGAGGTTGGTAGGTGGGTTCAGGGGACTGGTGGAGACAGACTTGATCTGGGACACGTGGAAAATGGGATGGATCCACAAAGATGCAAGTAACTGGAGGTGGACAGCTGACGGGTTTATGATCTTGATAATAGGGAACGGGCCAATGAACCTTTGGGTCAACTTTCTGGGAGAGTCTCTCAACTTAATGTCCATCCATCCATTTTCTTCCGCTTATCCGGGGTCGGTTCGCGGGGGTAACAGCCTAAGTAGGGAGGCCCAGACTTCCCTCTCCCCAGCCACTTGGTCCAGCTCCTCCGGGGGAATCCCAAGGCGTTCCCAGGCCAGCCGAGAAATAGTCCCTCCAGCATGTCCTGGATCTTCCTGTGGGTCTCCTCCCGGTGGGACGTGTACGGAACCCGTCACCAGGGAGGCGTCCAGGAGGCATCCTAAACAGATGCCCGAGCCACTTCAACTGGCTCCTCTCGATGTGGAGAAGCAGCGGCTCTACTCGGAGTCCCTCCCGGATGATCGAGCTTCTCACCCTATCTCTAAGGGAGAGCCCAGACACCCTGCGGAGAAAACTCATTTCGGCCGCTTGTATCCGAGATCTCATTCTTTCGGTCACAACCCAAAGCTCATGACCATAGATAAGGGTAGGAACGTAAATCGATCGGTAAACTGGGAGTTTTGCCTTGTGACTCAGCTCTCTCTTCACCACGACAGACCTGTACAGCGCCCGCATCACTGCAGACGCTGCACCTATCCGACTATCGATCTCACGTTCCATTTTTCCCTCATTCGTGAACAAGACCCCAACATACTTGAACTCCTCCACTTGGGGCAGGACCTCCTCCCTGACCAGGAGAGGGCACTCTACCCTTTTCCGGCTCAAGACCATGCCTCGGATTTGGAGGAACCTATCTTCATCCCAGCCGTATCGCACTCGGCTGCGAACCGTTCCAGCTAAAGCTGTATATCACGATCTGATGAAGCCAACAGAGTCAGAGAGTCAGAGTTTCTTTATTGTCATTCGCACCTCATGTGGTACATGTGGTAGAGCGAAATTATGTACACGTGGTCCCAGTTACATCCAACAATAAAATGTATAAGAAAAACAGTAATATCATCTAAGATATGAACTAAGAAAAACATCAACTAAATATACACTAAGCACTCATAACATAAAACATTGAACATCAGCACAAACATGAACATGAGTCTGTGAGCAGATGTGCACGCACGAACACATCAACATTGAAACAGATCAGCAGCAACATGAAACAGATCAGCAGCAACATGATATGGTTTTTCACAATGATTATTCTAGTTAGAGATTCATGAGTCCAACAGCCTCAGGGTAGAAGCTGTTCCTCAGTCTAGTGGTTCTACACTTAATGCTCCTTAACATCCTTCCTGAGGGGAGTGGGGCAAAAAGTGTGTGTGCTGGGTGAGTGGGGTCCTTCATGATGCAGGTGGCCCTCTTCCTGCATCTGGAGGTGTAGATGTCTGTGATGGTGGGGAGGCTGATTCCGACAGACTTCTGTGCAGCCTTCACCACTCTCTGCAAAGTTTTTCTTTCTGCAGCTGTGCAGCCTCCATGCCATACGTTGATGCTGGAGCACAGGATGCTCTCCACTGCACACCTGTAGAAGGAGGTGAGGACTGAGCTTCCCAGACCAGCTCACCTCATCTGTCTGAGGAAGTAGAGTCTCTGATGAGCTTTCTTGATCAGGCTGGTGGTGTTGTTGCTCCAGCTGAGGTTGTCATTCATGTGTACACCCAAGTACTTGTAGCTGGAGACCACTTCCACTGTAGATCCTCTTATGTTCAGGGGGGTGTAGATGTTTTTGTTCCTTCTGAAGTCCACAATCATCTCCTTTGTCTTCTTCACATTGATGTAAAGGTTGTTCTCTTTGCACCAGCTCTCCAGGTGTTCCACCTCTTGCCTGTAGCTGGACTCATCATTGTTTGTGATGCATCCCACCACCGCTGTATCATCTGCAAACTTTACAATGTGACAGCCTGGATGGGTAGCTGCACAATCATACGTGAGCAGAGTAAACAGGAGGGGGCTCAACACACTTCCCTGAGGAGAGCCAGTGCTGAGGGTTATGGTGGAGGAGGAGAAGTTGTGGATCCTCACTAACTGTGGTCTGTTTGTTAAAAAGTCTAATACCCAGTTGCAAATGGAGGGGCTTAGTCCTAGTGTGGATAGTTTGTCCATCAGGGTTTGGGGGATCATGGTGTTGAAGGCGGATGTGAAGTCCACAAAAAGCATATGGACGTAAGTTTTTCTGCTCCAGGTGGTTGAGCGCAGTGTGGACCACAGAAGAGATGGCATCCTCTGTTGATCGGTTCTCACGGTATGCATACAGATGAGGGTCCTCGTTGATGTTGATGGTTGTTTTGATGTGGGTCATGACCAGGACCACATCATCTGCAAAAAGCAGACACAATCCTAAGGCCACCAAAACGGATCCCCTCAACACCTTGGCTGAGCCTAGAAATTATGTCCAAAAATGTTATGAACAGAATCGGTGACGGCAACCTTGGCAGAGTCCAACTCTCATCAGGAACAAGACCGACTTACTGCCGGAAATGTAGACCAGACTCTGACACTGGTCATACAGGGACCTAACAGCCCGTATCAAAGGGCCTGATACCCCATACTCCCAGAGTATCTTCCACAGGGTTCCCCGAGGGTCGCAGTCGAACACCTTCTCCAAGTCCACAAAAAATGTAGACCGGTTGGGCAAACTCCCATGCACCCTCCAGGACCCTGCTGAGAGAGTAGAGCTGGTCCAGTGTTCCACGACCAGGACGAAAACC